GAAATTAGCCGCTCAAATCCACACAGAAGGCAAGAGGCAATTTATGCCAGTTATATGCACACATGTAGACAACCAAAGACAGATACCTACCTTGCAGTCATCAAATCTGAACCAGTCTCCTTGGAAATCCTTGATATAGCAAATATAATGGCCAAAAAACGATGCATTTAGCATATCTATGTGCACAACAACAGCATAAAGCTTGTACACGTCACTGCCATCTCCTTCACTCGTGTAGGGACTAAGATCTAATGTCGCGGGAAATTTTATCCTCTTATTAAGTTTCCCGAATCTTCCACTCTGAAAAATGTCATCAAAGCAAATAGGAGACATTAAGCACTGCATGTTGTCTGACAATAACAAGATACAGAATCTGTTCATCTCAAACCTGAAATCTTTTCAGAGCGATAGTAAGAATATTTGGAGCTCGTCGAATTGTAAGGCGCTTCCATGCGTTGACATAGTCATTGCAACTGCCAAGAGAAACAAAATTCACATTCAAATAAAGCAAGCATACAAGTTAGCAGGGTTTCATTGAACATATCCATCGTTTCCCATCTAATGAACTGGTGCTACTTGTAATGTGCAGGTAGATCCGGCAGGCCAAAGCAATTCATTTATGTATATTGGAAATGATGCAGCCTGGAAACCCTGCCAAGGGATTCACTGCATAGATTCGAGAGGCTTTTGCCCAATCTACCAGAGAGTGAATGTGGTGGTCGACATTAAATGAGGTCATAGTTAATTTAGTGTTGTCTGTCAATTACCTAATGAACAAGAACTTCCCAGCGAAAAAATGGGAGATCTTTTGACCTTCAATACAGTCAAACATGTACTTGATAATCCAACTACTTATTGTTGAAGAAAAGAGCACATAAACAATCATACCTGTCACATTTGTACATGTTGTCATCCTGAAGCCATTCCTTTGCCGTGAATTGATCAAGGCACTCCTCCAAAGAAGTGGCATCTCCATGGATTTCAACAGTTAAATCCATCATGTTTTCAAACTGGTTTGAAATATTACAGCACTTGGTACACATAACCTAATTTATGAAAAGTAATTAAACAACAATCAGAACTGTGGACAGTAACAACAGGGCAAAATGACTGCTAAAATGTTTTACAAGACGAGGAAATGCAAGCTATCACAGGGTTTGTCAGACCTTCATATATACTAAATAATCATCCGATCTACAATATTCAAATCATCGATCTCTTAATTTATTTTCATTGTCACAAATATAGCATAATAAAAATTGATAGCCACTGTCCCAATCTTCAAGGCCATGCTCTCATGTACCAAGTTCAATGAAGTGTTCAGTGTATGCATAGACACTGACGACAAATCTACATACCATCCCTACTGACAAGCATACACAGTGCATGCATAAACATTCAGTGATTCAGACTTCGAATGAAATTATCATGCATATAACATATATCTCAGTAAATATAGGACCACTATTCTGTTTATGCTGTAGAACGTTTATGGGTAAAAGTAGACCAAGCATGCATAGCCAAATCAAGTTCAGACTTTACTCCACAGGACGTTACCTGAGACTGCAGGTGACCGCCAAATATATGTTGAACCAGAGTCGTTTCTTGAGAAGCCGGGTCAACTGCCTTTTCTCCACCGAATTCATCAAGGCACACCGATTGCATTGTGTCAATGGCAAACCTATAAAATAGAGCAAAATTTGTTGGTAAATTGTATGAAGCCCACACAAAGATACATATTCTCTTAACCTGCACATCAAACATTCTTCTTATTCGTCTATCAAGTTTTTTGTGATTAAGGGAGGAACCGTGTGGTGTGGAGTGTCACATATGGATAAGACTAACGATACATAAAAATACAAACCTCATGAACTCATGGGCATCTTCTTGTCTCCCATAGCCAAGATTACCACCAATCTTAGGCAAGCGGGAAAGTATGTTAATTGGAGAAAAGGGATGTGAACTTTGGCTGGCTCTTTCAACATGAGATTCAAAAACGCACAAAAAACACCAGCCTTCGCGCCTGCCTGGAAACCAATATATGATCATCAATAATGAGGAATCATCCTACATTCGTTAAAGATGATAATACAAGACCAAAACATTTAGTAACCAGAGCTTACACTCTCGGCGGTGGCCTTTCTCCAACAGGTAAGCGACCAATGGCCTTGTGTATGTCAGACATTGTAGAACCACATTGGCAAAGCAACTGTGCATTCAAAAGGGAAAGGAATCAAAACTAACATATAGGAAGCAAGCAAAACGCCAATCTACCAATTTTTGCTATCTCTTCACAGTAAGAATCTAGAACCAACCTGTTTCCACAATTTAGGAGTCCAGAGGGTGGAAACGGTCTGTTCCAATTGTATAGTTTAACAAATTCCGCATATGGGAAAAGTACCTGAAAATTCATCATAAGCATGTCAGTGATAAATCTTAAGGAACTATGAAGACTGAAACTAAAAAGGTTACAAAAATACCTTCCCAGGCTTCTTAAAACGCTTACAAGTCCCACTACTAATAACCAATGCAATTCCAGAATAACGTTTGCCAGTACTGGGTTTCCTTATAAGTGATTTGCATTTCAACTTGTGACCGGAATTCCAATGTGAACTTTGGCACTCAGTCGAACTGCCAAACAAAGAAAAGAGGGATGTGAAGACATTTACAAAGATTGACACCCCTTTTTTGTACAATTGACTGACTGGTAATTCCTAGCTACAGGAAACATTGTGTCAAAGAACTAATCACAAAGAAAAAAGAATGCTTGCTCCTTTCTTCATGACAAAGACAATTCTCTCACGGGAACGGTAATTCTTGGACAGAGAACCACAAGGCAGGAAGACTTTCGATAAAGAAACAATGAAAAGAGCGGGATGGTCCAAAGTATGCGTACCAGTATCGAACTGATTTGCAACCGGAGCACTTCTTGGCGCCAGACTTGCCACAATTATTGCAGGAAGAAAGCTCCTCCGGCGACCCCATTGAACTCACCGGCGCAGTGCGATTCCGATCAGCAATGTGTGCACCGCCAGTACCACCGGCGCCTTCGAAACTGGCGTCGACTTCGAAGTACTTCGACGCCGTGTTCTTGACCACGTACAGCAATCCCGCAGCAATGAAGAAGATGCTAAATATAAATCGAAGGAACCAATTAGGATCCACCGGAATTCCACCGACATGCATACTCCTCGCTCATTAAACCCTATTTACATGAGATTAAAATAATAATTCACAATAATCGTATCAGACTTGGAGAATGTAATCCGAATCCAAATTGGAGAATTTAGGGTTTCTCAATTTCAAGCTTTGTGTAATTTGTTCGTGCGTCGAAGGCTGGATTGGAAGTTTGGAAAAGGGGCGCAAGACTGTGGGCCCATTGCTGGGTCGGGTCGGGTACCACTTGGTGCGGATTTGGTTTTATTATAAACTGCATGCAGCTTCAGTTCATTCAATTCGATATTTGGGCCATTGAGGCCCGACAATAGTTGGCGTTGGGTCAAATTTATATAGCCCAAATTTAACTTCGCTCATTTAAAAGAAAAAAAACATGGTAAAAATTTTGGTAAAAATTTTCGTATGGTCTGAACTTTGACCAAAATAAACATCCTGGCCAATCTTTTCGATCTATAACATCCTTGCCCGAACTATACACCAAAATAAATAATTTGGCCAGATCCGACTTTTGACCGTTAACTTGGACGGTCAAACGCGTTGACCGTTAGTCAACGCGCCATGTCACTGCCAAGTCAGCATAAAATATTTAAAATAATTCACAATTTTCACACATTCTCTAATTTTAAATTATTATAAATTAAAAAAATCATCTAATACCTTAGTTAAACCAAAAATAAAAAATGGAAAATTAAATATTTATCAGATCTTCTGACTTGGCAGTGACTGTTGACCTTTAGTCAACGCGTTTGACCGTCCAAGTTAACGGTCAAACATCGGGTTTGGCCAAATTTTTTATTTTGGTGTATAGTTCGGGCCAGGATGTTATAGATCGAAAAGATTGGTCAGAATGTTTATTTTGGTCAAAGTTCAAGCCATACAAAAATATTAACCCTGAAATTATCGTAAAAAGAAAAGTTCGATAAAATACTCATTGAATTTAGAAGTGCAAACTAGATCCAATCCAACAAGTACTAGGGGTGCATGATTACTCATGGATTTACAAACTTAACTATAGATTTTTTTATAGAAACCTGACGTTAACTATTGATTATTTATCTGAATATCAATATTGAAACATTATCGAATTTTCCCTACAAATATATCTCTATAAAAAAATACTAATAACATTCATAGAGTAGTAGTTGCTATTTAACTCACTCCAACACCCTAATCGAATGACCTCTAAATTTCCAATTGAAGCCCAATGACAACTCCCCAATCAAGATTAACTGCTCTAACGAATCTCAACTCGAAGACGTCGGTGCCACACAAACACCAATAACAACCTACCAAGCAAAACAGAATGCATCCAACATCACATCACCGGATACAAACACGTTCCAAAAAGTACTTTTGAACTTCTCGAATCCCGGTTGACGCCCTCGACAGCCTGTTCCCTCAACCTCCAAATATTAAAACCAAAAAAATCAACCATAGAGCACCTTCTATGCCTAGTTGCCTACTATCATCCTTAAAATTTTGAGATTTTCCATCGAACTCTTATGTAACCGAACCACAACCATTATATCAAATGCCTCTAATTATGTGGAAGCCATTAGCTTTTTCCTCAACTACTCTAACATAGTTCAACTATATATTTGGCACACATGAATTCTTCTTTCTCTCATTTCATTTCACTCCGCCAACAGCGAGACGATGTGACGGCATGTAGATCAAAGTGGAGGACGTCAGCATCCTTTGAGTCATCTTCCACATGCTAGCACTGTAAAAAAGTAATACTTTATCAAATTTTGCCGGGAAGAAAGCACAGAAAATAAAGTGCAAACCAGAAAAGACACCCCATCTTCGTCGCTCTCTTCTTTGTCTTCTAGCATCATCCCTTCTGAAGAAATCCATTCTTTTCTGTCCCTCCCATTTCTTAGTCAAGAAATTTCAGCGCAGTTGCGATGCAAATTCCTGCTTTCCGCCTCCCCCGCCTATTTAACCACTCCTCCATGCCTCTGCTCCATCTCCCCATCGCCGGCCAAATCATCCCACCGCCCAACGATCAACCCAATTCTTTTTTACCATGGGAACAACCCTCTCCGTCCTCGCCTCCGTCGCCGTCCTCCGCTCCACCGTCAAGGAGTTCGTCCCGCCCGAAATCCGCACCTACCTCCTGGAACTCAGCCGCCGCTTCTCGTCGGAGATCGTCCTCGTCGTCCCGGAGTCCCACGAAGGCTCGACCAACCACCTCCACAAAGCCCTCGCCACCTACCTCGGCAGCGCCGCCGTCGCCGACCCCGGCGCCCCTCCCCGGCGCCTCACCGTCGGCAAGAGCGAGACCATGAAGGTGCTCACCTTCGGCCTCGACCGCAACTCCGAGATCGTCGACCGCTTCGACGGCATTCCGATGAAGTGGGCCTACTTCACCGAGACCAACACCGCCATCCACTTCGAGCTCAAGTGGTACGAGCTCCGCGTCCACCGCAAGCACGGCGAGCTCGTGACCGCCAGATACTTCACCCACATCCTCGAGACGGCGAAGAAGATTAGGGATCGGAGCAGAGTGGTCAAATTCTTCACCACGCGCAGCGGGCGGGACGGGTGGAGCACCAAGGGGATGAATCTGGAGCATCCCATGACCTTCGAAACCCTCGCCATGGATGGGGATCTGAAGCACGAGGTAATTGAAGATCTTGATTCGTTTATGGGAGGGAGGGATTACTACAAGAAGATTGGCAAAGTCTGGAAGCGTGGGTATTTGCTGTACGGCCCTCCAGGGACGGGGAAATCCAGCTTGATCGCCGCCATGGCGAATTACTTGAACTTCGACATCTACAACCTGAACCTCTCGGTGGTCAATTCGGATTCCTCGCTCGAGTATCTGCTGCTTCACATGTCAAATCGGTCCATTCTCGTCGTCGAGGACATCGATTGCTCCCTGATGTTGCAGAATCGTCAAGCCGTGGACCACCAGCAGCGTCCTGTGCAGGATCAGAATCTGCCCACGGCTCAGATTCTGCCCACGGCTCAGATTCAGGTCCCTATTCGCCCGAATCAGGTAAAACAATCACATTTAGTTTTCCCCAGCAAGTAATGTCAGGTTCCGTGGACTATATATTGTTAAGCGTTTGTTGCTGCTCTGCTCTTCTCTGCTCCACTACAATACACAACACAATTAGGTGACGCTATCTGGACTTCTGAACGCCATTGACGGGCTGCTATCTTGTTGTGGGGATGAGAGGATTGTGGTCTTCACTACTAACTACAAGGACAGGATCGATCCTGCTCTGCTCAGAGCCGGGCGAATGGATATGCACATTCACCTGACTTACTGCACATTCTCCACTTTTAAGCAACTTGCTCTCAACTATCTGGACATTCGCGATCACAAACTATTCGGCCAAGTCCAGAGGTTGATATCGGAAGTTGAGGTTTCTCCAGCAGAGGTGGCAGGGGAACTCATGAAAGACAGAGATCCCAGCAGCAGCTTGGAATGCCTCATCAGGTTTCTGGAAAGCAAGGTATATATATGGCAATGAAATGGTATGCAACATTTTCCTGCAGTTTCGGTCTTTCATTACCAGCTGATCATGGCTTGCTTGTTTTCAGAAAGCAGAAGTGAAGCCCTCTTCACCGGAAGATGTAATCAGTGACGGCGAGAACTGTAAACCAGAACAGAATGATGGACGAAAGGATGAAAAAGCTGTTTGCAAGCCGCTGGAAGTTGGAGGGTATCGGATCAAGGAAGAGTTGTCGTCAACTTTGGGGTCTATTCTCTCGGAACATGGCGACATTGTTGCTAACTGCACATTGCAGTCTCCGGAGTGTCGCGCATTGTTCTTGGAACTTGTCTGCGAAATCTTTCAGAAGCTTCAAGCTTTGAAGGAAACCAGGTTGACTCTGGCCGAGCTTAACTCCATGGCGAGAAGTGTTCGAGATCTCGAGTCACTGAAACTGGAGGTTGGGTGGCTCCTTGGGAGCCTGGACGAGGTTACTCCAGTCTTGAATGGAACGGAGGCTATGCCATGAATTCGTCTCTTCTTGTATCTGAATTCAGTGCGGTTCCAGTTTTATAGGATGTCCGAATTCAGTGTCCAATCGAAATAAGATATATGGATTTCTAAATATGCCAAAGTAATATCTCATCAAGTAACGTTGTTTAGGTGTTGGTACAGCTCGATTATGACGACTAGCACATCTTCCTATTTATAATTTTAGTATAACGATGTGTTTCACCGCTTTTTTCCAGTAGTTGTATTTGGCTTATACCATTTGTGTAAGTCGACTCACTTTTTTTTTACTTTAGTCTAGTGATGGCAATGGGTCGGGTCAGGGACGGATAGTGTATATCCGTTACCCTACCCCTACCTAAAATAGTTCGGGTTTTACCCATACCCACATGTGAAACGGGTAGAAAATTAAAATCATGCCCATACTCGTTCGGATTTCGGGTATCCGCGGTTATCCATGGGTAATGATTTTTCTTCATAACTATAACCAATATGTTAACATTCATACGTATTCTCACATTACGTAAGAAGAAAAGTACGACAATAATTCACTAGAATGAAGAAAATTAATTAAAACAACACAATTTCATGAAAATATTATAGTTATATGCTAAATATAAAATATGTTAGAGGAAAAAATGGGGTTAAAGACACATTTGGTCACTGAGATTAAAAAATCGGGACATGATTAGTCACTAGAAAAAAGTTAATATCAAATTTGGTCACTACAATTACTAAAACCAGACACATTTAGTCACTCGCCGTTAGTCTCCGTCAACTCCGTTAATGAAGTCCGTTAAGTGCTGATGTGGCAAACAGAATTGCCTAATCAGCCGGATATAATCCAACAAAAATAAAACCCGACCCGCCACGTCATTAAAACCAACCCAACCCAACCCAACCCATTACCCAACCCCACCCAACCCTTCTTCCTCCTTCTTCCCACCTCGCCACCTCGGTACCTCCCACCTCCTTCTTTCCCCAAAACCACCGCCGTCGCCGCTCTCCTCCTTCTTCCTCCTTCCTCCCACCATTTGTCAGCAAGAAACCAGAAGAAAACACACCAACACCATAGATTTTAGTTCTATTGAGCTAGTCAAACGAAGAACAACTAGCCAAGATCAATTATCTCGGACAGCAAACCTCAGCTCACAGAGCCACAGTTCTGCACCAATTCCATGACCCCCACAAGTCAAACTAAGCATGAAAACAAAGCAAAACCCATATCAGGAACTCCCAAACTTCCAAAAGCACAACCTCACCGCCAAACCAGAACACTGTAAACCAACACCCAAAATCAGAAAATCAACCCCCTGAAACCTTTTCGATTCCACAGTCTAAAAACCATCAAATTCACGCACTGGAATTAGGAAAGGAGAAGAAAATTGACTTTTACACTGAACAAGGATTGACTTTTGCGGGAGGAGGTGGGAGGAAGGAGGAGAGCGGCGGCGGCGGTGGTTTTGGGGAAAGAAGGAGGTGGGAGGGAGGAGGAAGAAGGGTTGGGTGGAGTTGGGTCATGGGTTGGGTTGGGTTGGTTTTAATGACGTGGCGGGTCGGGTTTTATTTTTGTTGGGTTACATCCGGCTGATTAGGCAATTCTGTTTGCCACATCAGCACTTAAAGGACTTCATTAACGGAGTTGGACGGAGACTAACGGCGAGTGACTAAATGTGTCCGGTTTTAGTAATTGTAGTGACCAAATTTGATATTAACTTTTTCTAGTGGCTAAACATGTCCCGATTTTGTAATCTCAGTGACCAAATGTGTCTTTAACCCGAAAAAAATGATTATTTCTAGACAGAATACATATGCATGTGTATAATCGGGCGGGTTCGGGTTGGATAGTGAGAAACCCATGCCCACCCACTACCCGCAATATTCGGGTTCGGATTTTACCCATACCCACTAAATGTCCTTCGGGTTCGGGTTCTACCCTACCCGATTAGGCCGAATTCGGACGGATATCCACGGTTACGGATATTTTTGCCATCCCTACTCTAGTCAATTATATTAATGAAAGAAATACTCACCTTTTTCAAAAAACCAAAAAAATATCTGTATTTACAAAAAAACAAAATGTCTGTATAAATTTCAAAGTTAAAAAGCCACATTTTCATTTTTGAGGCGGTTATAAAAAAAAAAGGCTTCTTATTGTTACCTTTTCCCGATGGCTTAATTGCAAGATTGGTCACTCGAATTGCTATAAAATTTCACGTTTGCCACTCAAATTAATTTATTCCATTTATAGTCACTTGAATTAGTTGAACAGTTCAAGTTCGGTCACTCTCCGTTAACCTCCGTTAACTTTGACTGACGTGGCGGTCAACTCTGACCGTTGACCGTTAAATGTGTGACGTGGCAAATAAAAAATAATTAAAAAATTAAATTAAATTTTTAGAAATTACACATCATTATAAAAAAAATATAATTATAAAAAATGAAAAAAGAAATTATTGCAAAAACTTAAACTGCCGCTCTAACACCTTCCCCACCACACGCCCTCCTCCGCCTCTCTTTCCGGCCGCCGCAACTGCTCAACTCTAAGCGGCAGCGATGGATTCCTCTTCATCGTCGCTAGAGAGTTGCCCGAGCTTCTCCCCTTCCTCTCTGGAGTACTCCGATTCGACGCCGCGCGGATCGGCTGCTGCCGCTTCCCCTTCCTCCTCTGCAATCTCCCGAGCGCTCCACCTCGTCAAATCCGAGAATCCGGAATCCAAGGTCGAGGCGGGAACCTTGCGGAACAACCACCGAGGAGATTCCGGAAGAAAGATGATTAGCAAGAACTGCAGTAAAGCAGGAAGTCCTGCAGCTCCCAGCATCCATCTCCACGTCCCTGGAACCTGAAACAACAACTCACTCAACACCCTCAAAAGCCAATACGAGTTCAAATTAAATTACAGAGCTAGCTACGTACCTTGGTGAAGGCCAAGTTGAGGAGGTAGGAAAGGAACTGGCCAAAAGTGATGAGGAGGTTATTTGTACTGACAAGGGCACCTCTAATTTTCGCCGGAGATGCCTCCGAGATGTAGAGAGGGGAGGTCATTGAGGCCATTCCAACTCCAAGACCCACAAAAGCCCTCCCTGTGATGAGCGCAGCTGGTCCAGGGGAGGCAGCCATGATCACAGCTCCGACGAAGAAGAGGAAATCAGCCACCACAAGTGCACTTTTCCTTCCAAGCCTATCGTTTACCCATCCACCAATGCCCGCTCCCGATCCGCGCGGCGTCAAATCGGAGTACTCCGGAGTGGAAGGGGAGAAGCTCGGGCAACTCTCTAGCGACGATGAAGAGGAATCCATCGCTGCCGCTTAGAGTTGAGCAGTTGCGGCGGCCGGAAAGAGAGGCGGAGGAGGGCGTGTGGTGGGGAAGGTGTTAGAGCGGCAGTTTAAGTTTTTGCGATAATTTTTTTTTTTTCATTTTTTATAATTATATTTTTTTTATAATGATGTGTAATTTCTAAAAATTTAATTTAATTTTTTAATTATTTTTTATTTGTCACGTCACACATTTAACGGTCAACGGTCAGAGTTGACCGCCACGTCAGTCAAAGTTAACGGAGGTTAACGGAGAGTGACCGAACTTGAACTGTTCAACTAATTCGAGTGACTATAAATGGAATAAATTAATTTGAATGGCAAACGTGAAATTTTATAGCAATTCGAGTGACCAATCTTGCAATTAAGCCTTTTCCCGATAGACCACTGGAAACCCGCCGCTCTCACTCCCGACCTTAAATACAGCCCTTTCCCCAGATCGCAATTCTTCGCTGCCTTACCCCCCTCCAATTCCAACCGCCGACCGACTAAAACCATCAATACAGAAAAGACAAATATTGGAGTTACTATTTGTTAGAGATCCTCAAATTTCAAGTAGACAAAAGTTGGAGATGGTTGTCTTTGACAAGTCACATAAAACGTTGTTTTACCCCAATATCTCACTCCAAAACATCTGTGCTCATCAGGTATTATCTTTTGGGTTTACATGTATTGTTCTGTGGATTTCCGTCGCAATTATTGTCCACTAGGTTTTCATCCATTGTATCCTGATTAGCCCCCACCAAGTTGTTGCCCATCTCAAAACACTAGCTGCAGAATTATAAGATGCCTTCACGGTTTGCCACAAATCACTATCGAAGATCCCTACTATATATATGCTCTGTCTAATCCTCGCATTCGCCCATCAATTCACATCTTATATTGAAACGCTATGGACGAAATCCTAAACTGTCCCCCTCCACCGTTTCACTACAACATTTTTGACATTGTTAATTCCGTCTTGTGGTAACGTTCGGGACAATTTCAAGTCCTCTTTTCGTTAAACAAATCACCGTGGCATATCCAAACAACAAACTACCCTTTCACTTTTCGCGGCGCATTCGGACTATCACTCTTGTAAAATTATTATGCTATAGCAAGTATGCTTGTGCTATGCAACTGCCATGTATATATATGTGATGCCTCGCTCAGATCATGCCAACGATATGCAGAACAGGATGGCCTTTGCGAAAACACTCAAGAGAATCTCCAAGCTATCGAGGAGTGGAGGCGCAGCAGGAACCAACTCTGTTGTGCTGAGGTGAGATTCATGAACCCATATGACATTGTGTTGTTTCTTTCTGGATCTTCATTATGACATTGTAGCTAAGTAGGAACGTTGTTATGGTGGTGTGTGGGTACAGGAACTCTACCGCCGTCGAAGGAGCAACTTCACCGCCGCCGCCGCCGACGAGGATGAGGAGGAGGTCAGTAGCAAGATCAGGTTCGGGGCCTGTAACTGAAGAGGTGTTAAAGGCTGTTCTGATGGAGGCTGCTCCCATCACATCGATGGAACTTGTTGCCTTGTTCAAATCGCGTTTGAAGTCTTCCAAGGTAGAAAAAAAAACCTTAAAGCTCTTTAGAGTACTAACAGTAGTCTCTGCTGTTATTTATAGTGAAGCTGTACATGATCAGTCTCGAGTGTTCATATATGCTGTATGTCCCAGGATAAGAAGGCCTTTGCGGGCATGCTGAAGAGAATTTCCAGGATCTCGAAGGGAGATAACGGAGCCAACTATGTTGTGCTGAGGAGCGGAGTTTGCGATTCTGAATCCAATCCACTAATTCAATCCTTCGATTCGTTAAAAATATCCAACTGATACAATCCAATCCATTTGATCCAAATCCAGTCGGATTGGTTGATTCATGGATTGAATTGAGTTGATTCATGGATTGAATTGATGGGTCAGTGGCAAATTACAGTTTAGTACCTAAATTTTTAATTTTTTACATTTTGGCACCTAACATTTTTTATCATGACATTTTAGTACCTTAACTTTTTCATTTTACATATTGATCCAAAGTAGAGGATGTCATTTGGATTCATGAATAATCCACCAATCCATTTGATTCATGGATCCATCAATCCACCAATTCAATCCATTTGCCACCTCTACTGATGAGATAATTTGTGAATGGAACCATATGAATGGAGTGGTGGAGCAATGATCATAGTAGTGACTTCCCTTCTTGTTTCTTGTTGAATTAAGTGGAATGGGTATTTGTTTGTGGCTACAGTACTTGTTACCAATGGTCAATCTAGTTGTTATTGGTCATTTCGTATTAATTGTGAATGCTACTGTTTATCTAAATAATTTTTCGTCCAACAAGATGTGGTGTAACTGAGAATGACAGTAAGACTGTTCGATTGTGTTCTTTATTTTACTTTTTCATCCTCGTGTTTTTTACAGGAAGGATCTTTGCATACTCATTAGCTATTTGTGGATAATTTCAGTCATTCTGTTTTCCGGCGAGGAAAATCTGGTGTTTGAACACAATCAATGCACCTTTGACTTCTCGAACAACGATTAATTACACGGTTCACTCCTCTCCGAACAATGTTCGAACGAGGGTGTTTGATGTTTTTGATGGTTTTTTGGGAACAAGCTACGTTACTCTACTCCTATGGAGGTTCAGTGAGAGCTCCGAAAAACTAAAGGGCAAGTTGCAGAGAAAAGATAAAGTTTGACATTGTGCGTCAAATGTTTGGTTGTGGAACCCCTGCTTCTTCTTCGTTTCTTCTATTTATAGCCATTAGGTGTAACTGCCTTGGTAACCGCCTTGGTAACTGCTAGCTGGCCTCTTGCTCCAAACCGCCTCGGGGTCCTTGTCGCCGCCTTGATGACTAGTTGGTAACCGTCACCTTGAGGCCCTTGTCCCGTCTTGGGGTTGGTGGGTACTTGATGGCCTCGATGCCGGGTCGGGTTGGTGTTGAGCCTTTCGCCTTGTCATAACTGGATGGGGTTGAGGTTATTTGCCTTAGCCTCCATGATGAAGTCTTGATCACATCCTCGACATCCCTGATGGCTCCATGCTCCTTGTCTTGATAGCCACCTCGATGAACCGTCTTGATAGCTAAGCCATATTACCCTCCTAGGCAGGACGAGAATTTGGCCCCTTTACCCCCAGGTCTCCACACTTAGTCTTAGAGTGATTGTCATGGCACTAACATGTCATCTTGGTATCTTGCACTCGGCCAGCTTGGTACCCCGTTGGGGTCATGGTACCCTGTCTCCTTGCTTGGCTGCCAAGCCTGTCGGCTTGATACCCCTATGGCTCTATACTTAGCCAATTCTCATATACTTTGGTACCAGGCCCTCCTTGAGGGCTTGGTACCCGGTCGTTTGGCACCCATTGTGTCGCCTTGTTTCCAAGACTTAGCTTTTTGGATGGCATCCTATTTGGTATTCGGCTTGGTACCCGGCCGTTTGGCACCCCGTTGCTCCTTGCCGGCTTGGTAGCCAGTCGTTTGGCACCCCGTTGTGTCGCCTTGTTTCCATGATATCCGTCCGTCTTGGTACCCGGTCGTTTGGCACCCCGTTGTGTCGCCTTGTTTCCAAGACTTAGTTTTTGGAGGCCAAATTTCCTACCAAGGGGTGAAGGCATCGTCCGGCTATGGAGGCCACGGAGATGGGTCGGCTACTGTATAGAGAAGAAGGGGTTTGGCCACTTAGGCCCAAAAACCCAAACCAACAAGGCCTAGCTAGCTCTTTTAATTATTAGTGTTGAGCTGGCCTTATAAATCACTACCACTACTTGAAAATAATCAATGTGGTATTGATTTTTTTTATGGGTAAACAAATGCCCCCCACAACTTAGTGTATAAGAATTATGCACTAAGTTGTAGAAACCAACCATGCCACTTAAACTTAAAACCACTCGGTCGCCTACTTCCCTTGGCCAAAATTTTGGCTTTAATGAAACACTTCAGGCCAAATAATCCCTCTTTTGTTTCGTCCTCACTAGCAACCGTGAATGGCCAAATGCATGGCCATGCAACTCACATGCTCAATGAACCAACAACTCCTCATCGCCTCTGATTCCATTATGATTAACAATGGGGCTCAAGTTACCAATACAAACAGGTAGCATCGAGATCGTGTCCCCCTTTGTGCTTATATGGTCACCAATCATAAACCCACATATTATTCCTAGGCAATAGGCATGAGTCGGACTACGATGGTGCTTGCCACTGGTTTTTTTTTTTTTTTTTTCACACCTCACTACCTTCCATCGACTCATTTGGAAAAACTCAACTCCATCACCGTCTCGGCCGTAAACCCCCACCCGGCCAAAGAAATCACCCCACAAATTGCAAATAAAACAAGCTCTTTCTCTACAGCAACCATAAGTCGTTGCTGTCCCGAATTCCTTTTCCTCCCAGCGCAATGAGACCGAAAGCGAGTGGGGAACACAGTAGTTAATATAGATTTCTTTTATATTACCACTTCATGAAATCGGCCACCAGACTAGAAAAGTCTGTTTGATATATCCTTACCATGTTTGGTTAGGATTCTTTCATTCCTTTTCCTTGTAGGATTCTGCTTCAATTAAATCTTTTCCATAACTGAAAATGATTCTTCAAATCAAGCTCTCATAACTCTATAAATAGAGACCTCCGCTTCTCATTCTTCACATCTTCACATACTTCAACCTACTACATTCCAACAAGAGCTCTCAACATCAACGTGATCTTCACCAAAGCAAGTCAAGGTGAGAAAAAATTTCTCCATCACCACTAATGGCCGCCATCCATATCTTTTTTTTTTCAATTTTTTTTTTTTTTTTTTGCACACGTTGAAGCATGTGTCTAATCCTACTTCATCAATCTCTTGTAGGATGAGTGACACCGAGTATGAAAAAGAGAGGATGAAGGCTACCCGCGAGTACCGCAAGGAGTTCAAAGGGCTAGAAAAGCGCAAAGGAGTCAAGATGGTCTATTTGGATGTCAAAGACAACGGAGTTGGCATGCTTGGCCCTTACATCCTTGACCCTGCCACCCCGGAGGCTTCAACACATGGCCGCTACCCCCTTGGCGGCGGCAAGCTACTCTACAAGGCCAACCCGAAACCGTCATCATTCTTTCAACTCGCCTCACAAAAGAAGTTGATCAGGTCTTGGCCCCAACAAGACCCTGTGTACAACAGTTGGTATAATAGGCTGAAGAAGGATGAGGAGACCACCACCCTTTGGGCTCAAGCTGGGATTGATCGACTCCTTCACCTAATGACAGAGATTACGGATCCCGACCCTCAACTCTTCAAGGCCGCCACCTGCTTCTGGTCAACAGGTTCCAACTGCTTTGTCTTCCCCTTGGGTGCGATGACTATCACCCTAATGGATGTGGCGGCCCTCACAGGGGTGACCCCAGTTCTTCTGGATCGAGAAACCAAGGAGCAATACCCTCCATTCACGGCTGGCTCCTTCAGATCTCTTCATAGCCAATGCAATCCAGATCCCTCCACCCCTGTCACCCATAAAGAGCGAGCGGGATTCCTTCACTATTGGCTATACAAGTTTATCATTTGTCCTGGGACCCCGGGACCCCGTCAAAGCCTCTCAAAAGTATCTCATTACCTCGCTGATGGGTACGTGGAAGATGACCTAGCAGAGATCATTCTTGGGCACCTCTACCATGGCATGCACACATTGTTTGACCAAATTACTTCTGGTACCACCATCACGGGTTCCGGCCCCCTTTGGTTGGTGCACCTATGGCTCCAAGCCTACTTCCCAATGTTTCGGAAAGAACTGCCCGCCTTGAAGTCTGCAAGCCGAAAACATCTTCCGCTTACTTATGGTCATTACTACAACCATGCTGCGTCCTTGGGAAAGAAATTTGAAGAATGCTTCTCCATCTTCCATGGTTTGAAGTCTCTTGATAGCTTCACCCCCTTCAGACCCCGCCTCCTTGGTCCACCATCGTTCACAAGGACTTTCACAGCGAGACCCAAAGGCGAAGATGAACTTGATGAATATCGATGCTTTGTGCTCCAGTGGAAAGATTGGACTTGGGCACGCGACCTCATACTCTTCCCTATGGGGCCAAAACTGGACACATTCACCGAGGTTTACAACCCACACTTTGTGGCTCGACAGTTTGGCCTCATGCAAATGTGGCCATTATCTCTGCCTCACTCACCCAACTTTGCAGCACCCATGAAACGCAAGTCTTTGAAGGCAGAAGAGGAGGACAAGTTGATAATGTGGCACAGTATACAAGGGGAGAGCACGAAGTTCAAGTATTTTGAGCCTAGGAAGGATGCACTGTCCCGGGTCTTTCAAGCTGTCTTTCCCGGCAAAATGGAGAACTTGAGTCTTTTTGATGGTTCAGCCCCAGTTATAGCACAAGGGTTGCTTGACAATGTTCCGAAAAACACCAGCTCGGAAGTCATTAACTCCAGCAACCAAGGCGATAGTGTCAAAGAAACCGGCCCCTCCTCCATCACTTCCAAGGCTAAACGACGAGCATGTAAGCTTCCCCCTATCAAACTGTTTTCCGTACTATTTTTTTTTCCATATCCTTTGAGTTCCCTTACAGCTTTGTTTTCAAATGTAGGTCTTAGCGTAGATAGCCCCCCTAGATCCGGCAAGCGCAAAGTTTCTTTGAAGGATCCACGAGTAAGTGCTAAACTATCTTGTTAGTTCATCTTCCTTAGATCAATAACCTAATAAGAATTTTCCTTGCAGTCTTTGTCATCAGTTGAGAGCGAGGAAGAAAACCTCTCTAAAGACAATACCGGCGACAAAGACGAAGACGATGAGGGTTCAAAGCTAGTAGATGACAACTCCACCGATGAGGACCTTGAGGGCCGTCCCACAGCAATATCTTCAGATTCGGACACCGAT